ATGATCGGTGATTAATTGGACAGAATACGACCTAAATATAGTCGATTTCTCAAATAATCATTTGAAACCGTCAAATTGCCAACGTCCACATACAAAAAAAAGAGAGAGAAATTCAATCAAGATAAGCTGCTATAAAACGAGCTTTGCAAATTTGATGTGTTTTGACCGTTAATTTAAGTTGAAAGGTATTGTTTTTTGTGTTTTTATTCATTGGAAGGTGGAGGGAACGTCAACAGGACAAGTAGGACATTTTAAGTTTAACAATTTTTATATTATTAGCCAAAAACGGTATTTTTCGGTTATCCGGAATTAGAATAACCAGTAAACCGGAATTTGTTGCTGCACCTTGTTCGCCATTTTAGTACACCCATGCGCACCAAAATTTGTTTTTTCGGGCACCATATTTAATAAGTTATTAGCAATTTCTTTGTCATTTCCGATCGGGAATCGACATTAATTCAACATTTCATATTTTTTGTTCCATGGAGGTCATTGACCTTTCCTTATACAAATTTATAGAAGTTCAACCGAAAGTTGAAGTTTTCTCGTGTTACTTATAATATATATANTCTGTGAATATAGTTTGCCAGTAGGACCACATAAACATGATGAATAATATATGATATACAAAGAAGTAGCAAACTATAATTAAAAAGAAAACAAAATACATTTTCAATGTGCAATATTTTTTTCAAAAATTAAGATTTAATTTATAAAGTATTTACAGAAATATAAGTAAATTATTAATTATGATTGTATTTTTATGAAGAAAATTAATGATATACCAAGCTATCAAATGAAAAGTTTATTTGTGAGACATAATCAACTTGGTAGCAGTGCAAGTTGGTGTGTCTTACTCACTTGTCACATTAACAATGATAATTATGAGTACTATTTATTTATTTAAAGTCTCAAATGTTCCTCAATTTCATATTATATTAATGTTAAAAGATTTAAGCATTTCTCACAAGTATATGTTGCAAGAAATTTAACAGGATAGTAATAAGTATCTCTGGTTCATGCACTGTCAAGTCTATTCCTTGTGTTTTAGTTAATTACTCCCATACAGATTTAAACTATCAAAAGAAAATTATTATTACAACAGTAAAATATTTTATTACTTATTTATCATACATCTATGTTTATAAAATGGGATCAGCTATTATGGAAGGTTTCTGCATGAATGCTTATGGCATTTTAGCGACAAATATTACTTTTAAAGATTTGAAATCGGGATAAAGATTATTATATTTTATTACTTATTTATCTTACATCTATGTTTATAAAATGGGATCAGCTATTATGGAAGGTTTCTGCATGAATGCTTATGGCATTTTAGAGAAAATTAAAACGCATACTTCAAATAATAACAAAGCAAGACTCCATAGAGGAACACATATGCAATATGTTATCGATCAGTTCGAAAAGGTAATTAATTTGGCTGTGACTATCTTTAAAATGTTAGAATCGTCTAATACACATGAGGTTAGACTTTCCTCATCTTTTGTCAAGAAGAATGTTACGAAGGCTTTAGATTTAGAGGGCTCACAAGAGGTGAATGGTACATTGACTGAAAAATTTGAAAAGCTGGAGAAATTGGATACAGTTGTCCAAGAAATGAACCGATTGTTATCCACACAGACTTTTCTAGATGCTCAAAAAGCAGTTTTCCAAAAATTAGATAATATTGTTGAGAAAATATCCCAATAATTCTCTCGTGGTTGCGATATTGAAACTCAAAAAACTGTTCTCGAAAAACTTAACAAAATTGAGGACATAAAGAACAAATATATTACTACTCTCCTATTCACACTCAGATTCTTTAACGTTATAAAGTCAACACACCTTACTACTGAGAAAGCACATTTATTCAGCTAAACAAACATTTTCAACTCATTTCAAGGGCCATCATCAGGTTAAAGACGTTCGAGTTAATGGCTTTTCGAACACGTTCAAATTTAAGCTATATTAGAACATGTGTTAAAATAAGATTAAGTAAACGAGCATAACGAAATTAGTACAATAAACAAGAAAAACAGAATAAAATATAATAAAATGAAATACAAAATACGGTAATTCCCCATAATACAATATGTAAACATTTTTTATAGTAACTCAGGTTTTATTGAGCCTGGTGGATGTATCCTCTTACGAGTTCTTTCTGATCATATATTTCCATGCCGACGGTAAAATGGTTGCATCTTTATAGTTTAAACATTTATCCGTTAAGCTAGATCTGTAGATCTCACATTTCTCTGTTGTGGACGCAAGAGTTGGCGAGTGCACATTTGCAATGATTCTGGCCTCTTCCCATTTAACTATGGATCCATCTGTCTGTGCTATTTTTGATAATGCTGTTGTATATCGGCTCTTTGCTACGTCTTACTTATGCTCTTTCTTCCTTACACGAAAATATAGGATCAGAAAGAACTCGTAAGAGGATACATCCACCAGGCTCAATAAAACCTAAGTTACTATAAAAAATGTTTACATATTGTATTATGGGGAATTACCGTATTTTGTATTTCATTTTATTTTATTTTTCTTGTTTATTGTATTAATTTCGTTATGCTTGTTTACTTAATCTTATTTTAACATATGCTCTAATATAGTTTAAATTTGAACGTGTGCGAAAAGCCATTGATTCGAACGTCCTTAACCTGATGATGGCCCATGAAATGGGTTGAAAACGTTTGTTTAACTGAATAAATGTGCTTTCTGAGTAGTAAGGTTTGTTGACTTTATAAAATATATTACTGCTCCACCATTATTTAGTACTATTGTCATCTCCACGCCCTCTGACCTTTGACTACCAAAATTTCATAGAATCAATCACCATGATACTAAACTTTCTCTAAAATTTCAGAAATTTTCGACAAAGAGCAACAAGAGTTATTAATCTTCAAAGTAAATGAACAAAATCTTCCCCCCAGAACCAAACAACTTACATTTAGAATATATCTTCCATCACGGCCTTTAACTATACGCTATAAATCTTCTTATTTTCAAACATGAAACACTAGTAATAACAATCCACGAAACCTTTTCTTACAAGTGTTATGTCTGTAGTACACTCCACTAACGCTTTCGATCTCCACAGAGGTCTGCTTCAGGTGGTGACTGTGTTTCCTCCTGACCGTGGTAACGATGTCGCCAGAGATGTAAACAATTGTGCGTGTCGGGTTTCACTTCTTAGACTGTCCCTGTTCGAATCCCTCGAACAAATACCTCTACGCCTGCGCGATCGTTTCACCATCTTTGATGTTGATGCAGGTGCCCCCCACTATTAGCTTTATGAATCTCCCAGGCCTCCCTCTCCGGGCCTGCGGTAGCTGTAATACCAGCAAATGAAGGTATTACAGCTACCGCATTTGCTGAGACCTGCAAAAGTGTACATTAGAAATCAGTAGCGGATTGTTTTCATTTAAATAATAACAAGTTTTTTCTTTATTTATAATTATTTAATTTGTCTATTTAGTATTACAACTTAGTGTTACCGTTCGTACTTTGAAATCAGCAAATTTATCGATAATCTTATCGTAATTGAACGTATTAACTATATAATTTTCTATAAACATTATAGATAATCGTAAATCATTTAAATGAGTCCGTCCTAAACTACTTAAATAATTTTTAATTTTTTTTAACGTCGTAAAGAATAGTAGCCACAGGTATTGCTTATTGGCAAAATAAAAGCTTCTTAAAATTGCCTCTATGTTAGGAATAGTACTGTGCAAACCATTTATCGGTTTTCTTTTTTTTACAATTGAAGAGGACTCATTATCTCTTTTTTTTGATAAATTTCACAAAATCTTCAAAACATTTAGAGTGTCAATATTATTTTTGTAACTATTTGATAATGTCTTAGCGCAAGATTTTATATATTCTTGTGCAATGTCGTTGTCACAAAGTATTTGGTAATTCTTTAAGACTTCGTTGTAAATACAGTAGAGGGTCGATTATCCGAAAGTCAATCATCCGAAACGTCAATTATCCGAAAGAATTCCAGTCAGCAAATTTAAATTTTTGCTAGTGCTGTGGCGCTGCAATCTTTGGCTATATCTTGGGCTACTCAAATATTTCACTTTTTTGATACTAAATTAACTTCTGAAGTATAAATTTTTATCGTTTTTATATTTTTCAATATATTTATTATATATGTANTATCCCTGCATTGTCTTCCATAATTTTAGCTAGTTCATTACACAATTTCATAAAATTCCAGGAGTTACGTATGTAAAATAAGACCAAAACTTTGGCAAATTCAAATTAACAGGCGAACGAATAATTAACGGTCGTTGCACAACGCACGCACCTTAAATGCCTAAAAATATTAATAAAAGCAAAAGCAATGAATAATTCGAATTATCTGTGCTCTGAATCCATTCCAGCTCTGGGGAAAAATAACTCATTGCTCTTGACACTGACTGGGGGTAACTGATATCATTCCTAACTCCAAATCAATTTGTATTTTAATTATATTTTACTTACTTGTTGTTTAAAACAATTCTATAAATTTGTATTTTTTAAATATCAAACTTGCATAAATTCTATTACTTCTCTTCTAATCAATGAGTTGCTTGTTTGAGGCTAAAGTTTACACGCGAAAAGGTGTATGTCAAGCGTTCATTGCCGCTTTCCTGTGAGCCTACAAGTTTGACAATAGTGTTTAGATAGTCAGCGGAATCATGCTCGACATTCCAAACACCATTGTCAAACTTCTAGGATTACAGGAAAGCGGTGCTGAACGCCTGACGTACACGTTTTCCCGTCTAAAACTTCGGCCTCAACCTCACTAATAATTAGATCCTGAGAAACGACATGAAAGCCAGCAGAAAACTATTGATATATTAATAAATTTTATGTACAGAAGAGTTATTATTAAGATATCGAACTAAAAATGTTATTTCATTCATGAAAAGCTACTTTAACCTATCACTAAATTTAATTTAAATGTATTAAATAAAAACAAATGTAAGTAATTATCTTCACAATAAACTTTATTTTAAAATCACTTTAAAATATTTAAAATTATCAAAAAAAATTTTGTTGGCATATCTCCAATCGAAATTTTCTTAAGAAAATTTATATTACATTCAATTTTAACTTCGTAATTTTATTCTCAAGCAAATGTTCCACTGCGTCTATTGCAATGGTAAGACGAATCGACTAATGAATTGTGTATTGTTTCGTGTTCTTGAAAAGCCTTATGGCTGCAGATAGCTTAAAAACAAATAATGCAATTAAATGGGTATAGATCGTGCATTATACGATGAACATCCAGGTAAGCTTCACTTTGAAATTGACTATTACACACGAGACAAATGAATAGTCTAAATACAGAATGAGTAAGAAGGTTCCTGTATTAAACGATTTTGTTCTTCGAAACGACGATTGCTGCTAACATAATCGCTAGAAACTACATTTGAATAAGTCGTTGTATTGTTACTTCCTTTCATTCCAGTCTTGCAATTTTTATCGGGGTATTTCTTACTTCTCTAGTGTCTCCCTCAGATGTCTTCTGAAATGACAATCTAATATCCATTCTTCTGGAAAAGATTTATTACATATTTTACATTCGTAGGGTGATTTTCCATTATAAAATCTATCATGATGAGTTTAACGATGATTACATATTATTTACTTCTAGGGTTTTTCTTTCATTTTTTTTTTTCATGTGGATTCTGAAATGACGATTCAAATTGTTCGATTCAGAAAAACATTTATCACATGTTTCACATTTGTATGGTTTTTCTCCCGTGTGTGTTCTGAGATGACGATTCAAATTGCTCGATTCAGAAAAACATTTATCACATGTTTCACATTTGTATGGTTTTTCTCCCGTGTGTGTTCTGAGATGACGATTCAAATTGCTCGAATCAGTAAAACATTTATCACATGTCTCACATTTGTAGGGTTTTTCTCCTGTATGGATTCTCATATGAATACTTAAACCCTGTTTACTAGCGAACGACTTATTACAAATATTGCATTCGTTAGTCATTATACTATCAACACCTATAAAAGAAACAGTGCAATTTAGAGTTATTCATTTATATCGCAATTTTTTCTTAAATTACAGTTAATAACTACATATACTGATAGTAATTTACATGTTTTAGCATACAATTTATAATGCTGACAATTCCTTACATCAAAATATATTATACAAGTATAAATATAATAACTGAACTATTTAATATGAAAATTATTATATTTGTGTATAAAAGTGAATTCCAAAGTAGGCGCATTTTGTAGTACAGCAGTGGTTCCTAATTAGTGGTACGCGTACCCCCGGGGGGTACGCGAAATTGCGTGAAGTGGTACGCGCGGCACTCTAAAATCGGTCGATTTAAAATTTAAATGCATGAAATGAAGCAATCAAAAGAATAATGGGTGGACCATCAAAAATTCGGCAATTTACACCATGATGTCGAATGAACAAATTTGTTTATTTATAACTAAATATATTCTCGAAATTTCATCAAAAAAATGCATTTGTGACAATACCTAGATGTAATTCTTACGCAAGAAACAAAAATTATACGATTAACACAATTTGTGTTAATTGTACAATTATCATTATCATCATGTCGACGACGCGGCAATAAAATATTTACTACCATTTTGCACAACATAACTCTGCGAGAGCGGATTTTCGGCAATGACAAACATGAAAATTAAATATTGTCACCGACTTCAACTCGAAGATGACTTGAGACTGAAGCTGACCAAAAAGCAACCAGATTTTACAAAATTGTGCAAAGAAAATCGTGCACCTTTGTCACATAAATTAAATAACCTTATGTTATTTTCATTATTATTAGAATTCTATTTTAAAGGTAATAAATGTAAAAAAAAACTTTTTCTATTTATCACTTGCTGTCTACTGTTTATCACTAGCTTCGCCCGCTTTATATCGTGGGAGTTATATATTTTCTCGCAGTAAATGTAGCCTAGGTCCATCTCCAACATGTAAGCTATATCTGTGCCAAATTTTATTGAAACCTGTTCAGCGGTTTAGACGTGAATAGGTAACAGACAGACAGGCAGGCAGACAGAATTACCTTCGAGTTTATAATAATAGTATGGATTTTAATATGAGTTATTGCTGTAAGGGGTACGAGAGCTTGAACTCTTTCTTGAAGTGGTCCGCAGGAAAAACTAATTGGGAACCACTGTATTACAGGACGGGACGAAAATCACTTTACCATAGAAAGAGTTCGCTATTGTGTAGAGCAGTGTTTCGAAACGGGGGCGATATCGCCCCCATGTGGGCGTTGTTCCATATTCAGAGGGGCGATTAGTAACAATTTATATTTTGGAGGCAAAAAACAATTTTCTGGGCGATATAGTAAAACATTATATTAAGAATAATTGGCCTTTTTTTACGTTATATCGTACAATAATTAAACAAAACATTATTCTAGTCACTAGTCTATTGAATGCAATACGAATTTGGCGTTAGTCTTGGCCCTCGGCAGCAAAATTTGAAATGAAGGGGGCGATACTACGAACGGTTGTATTAAAGAGGCGATACTACGTTGAAGGGGGCGACGATTCGTTACAGATTTAGAAACACTGGTGTAGAACAACACAGGGATGATTTAAACCATGTTATCTTTAATGTTTAGGCCAAAAAATCTCCAATATGTGTATATTAAAATGCTGAAAATAAACTTATAAAATAATTAAAAGTAAAAATGTTATATTATTATTACATATAAAAGTTTCTTTCTGTCCACGCTATATAGTCTTAAACTGCTGCAATTTCGATTCTTACCAGAAATAAAAAATTTCTTCTTAAATCTACATCGTTTCTCAGTTTTGTTTGCATTGCAATTTATTATGTAAAAAATTATTTCCATAACTAAATTAGCATCTTCGCAAAGGTTGGCTTATTTGTTGGAGCTTTACCACAGCTTTATAACGACAACCCTGTAATTTAACTTTATTTTTAATTTTAGTAAATAGATATTCGTGTAACACTTCATACAGAACATTCTTCATTAATTAGATCTATTGTAATATCAGAGTTATATTAACATAAAATAAAACCATTTAAATTATTCTCATTTAACTGAAAATATAATTTTTTTAACTGCAATTACGTACATTATTGTATCAATAGAACCAAAAGTTTCCAATAATAAATTCAAAATAAGAATTCTAATTAGGCTTTGCGTCAAACCATATTTATCTAAATTTAGGAATTAGCATTGTAAATAATAAATCCACTTTAAAAAATCGACATCGAATCAAAATTTAATATCTAAATAAGTAATAAAAAATGCAGGCATTCTCCAATGTTTTAATCTCGTCTCTCTAATTTACAGAGTAAGTTACTCTTCATTTAATAATTTCGATTTCACTTTAAAGAATACAAACTTATAATTATAAGAGATATTTTAATTTTAAAATATCTGAGATACTTACAGAATAAAACCAGTCTTATTTTTATTTCAATTTCTTTCGATTGATACGAACAATTTCCTTTGTCTTCCAACACTTACAAGCATACACACCACGGTTATTTAACATAATTTGCATAAGCAAGACTTGTGTTTTTATTTTGAATATCTTTAAATGTGATTTAAAATATTATTTTTATATATAATTCTGTGTTATAAAGATTACTTTGTGTAATTATATTTATTTACAGTTAATCCAGTTTCTTTTATTCGATGGAGAAAGTGTTTCAGGTAAACAGTTTCTCCACTCACACTACCTGTAGGTAAATTAAATTTCCAAATGTTAGTATTTTTAGTAAAATTTTGTTTGTTTTAATATTTTTTGTATGTATATAATTGTATGTAATGCAATCAACATATTTTATATGAATCATTGGATAAAAGAATTTAAGATATAACAAAACATAAATATACTGTTTTAAGAGTAAAAAACTCTAAAATTACGTTAATGAAAACATTAAACAATGAATAGTAGATAATATAAATTCGGTATAAATGTATAGTTTTGGAAAATATCCACTGAATATTTTAACTAAACTTCAATAGCTAACATTTAAGAAACGAAGAGTTTTAAATTCTACAAAGTTGGTTGTAATGACAGTATAACCATATTTGAACAGATAACATTATACGTTAACACGCGAATATTATTTGAAAATTTTATATCTTTTTCTGAGCCAAAAGATTATTGGAAATACAGTAGAGCGTCGATTATCCGTAAGTCAATCATCCGAAAGAATTCCAGTCGGCAAATTTAAATTTTCGCCAGTGCTGTGGCGCTGNTATTTTTTCGTACATAATCGGTTATCCGAAACATCGATCTTCCAAACAACCCCAGTCTTCAATTGATTCAGATAATCGACGCTCTACTGTAATTGTATTTCGAATTTGAAAAATATTACTTTGTTAACGATAAATACTAAAACGTTGCAAAAATAACTAATTTGTTACAGTCATTGTCGGTCTTTCAACTTAAAACCACTGTAATCTGTAATTAATGTGTTTGCTCTAAATTTGATAAGTTCGTGCCACTGTGTCGCATAAAAAATACTTTAATAATATTTCATTTATATACATAATTGAAGTGTTTTTCTGCAACATTTCACTATTGTTCATATCAATGGTTATTATAAAAGAGAACGCTACGTGTGGAAGCATCAGATATATGTTCAGTAGCTACGATATAGAAGCTATAACTGTCTTACTCATAATATCTATCTACATTGCTTTGGAATTTTATGTTATGAAAGAAAAAGTTCATTATGCCAAAAGGTACAGTTGTGAAGGAAAAGAATTTCTGGAAAAAATTGAGATTTACTATTTGAGATTTTTTTTACTATTTATTACATTTATAATTCAATCAATCACATTCAGCATAGCTTTATATTCGTAACTGATAAAAGGAAACAGAAGTGATAACGTAGCATTGTTTTTTACCATTGTTCTTTCCGCTTGGAGCATGTAACCACTCTGTCACATTATACCTATGCTTCTGTTATCAGCAGTAATGTTCATCGTAATTTGAAAAAGATATATTCTCTTGACAAAGAGAAAAACATCAAGTGTGACGAATTGAAATCCGTTTTGAAATGCCCCGTGGAAAAAAGTTTGGATTTACGTAAATAATTTAAAGAAATAAACGAAGAATGGAAAATTCTGATTTCAATAAAATATATTTACTTCCTGTATCTTTCTATATTTTTGTTATATGGATCCATCTTTATAGAAATGAATCGTATGGTGAAAATAGTCTGCGTAGCATTGACAATTATATTTTTTACGGGTTGTGTTTCAGTTGCTGTGATTTTTGTGTTTTATGTATATTGGTAAGAACCTATTAAATATTACATAATCTGAATTTATATTAATCAAAGCTTCGTTTCTTTACAGATTTATGATAATTTCGTATTAATCGGAAGATTTTCATCTTCATTTCTTTCATTAAAATACAAATTTAGAATACATTTTAACGTTTAATTTTCAAACTTATATTTGTAAGTTAATATAGGTTGGCCCAGATTGTCAACAAGCAGATAAATTTCTGTATTATTTAACAATTTATTAACTCCTGATCTATGTAAATATTCCTTAAAATTAATTCTTATTTAATAAACAAATTAGAACGCTTTAATGCACTTTTACCAATTGTTTAAATTTTTGTAATTCTCATCAATGACCAAGATTATAAAACTACTGAGCACTGGTGTAAAAGGGTTCGCGTTTTAACAACGGGCTGGCCACGTAGAGTTAGCCGGTTTCAAGATTTCTTTAGTAGCTCTTTAATAAACCTTGAAATTACTTGTTGGAATTTTGAAAAAAATATAACATGAAAAATTTATATATATGCCGGAAAACTCCACTGTTGAAGGAGAAGCGCGAACCCACCTACGACCAAATTTCCAGTGTTTAGAGAATCGAACCGCTTGGCCACTGGTGGGCCGTAATCGATAAATATTTACTATAGTTTAAGTTTGTTCGTATCTTTTGAATATTATGATTAAAAGGGAACACCATTCTTAAAACAGAAGCAATATTGAATGTATTAAAAATTTGTAATTAAACGAAATGATTCCCTAAGATTCTGCATTATAAACTGGAATTAAGAAGTTCATCATTGATTAACATTTTAAAATCTAGTTGCCATGACAAATAAAATTTGAGTTTATTTCATGTCCAAAATATATTAAGTTTCATTTGTCATATCAAACGCTTTTACTTTAAAAAATAGATTAATCGAAGTGTACATAGGAAATGACTCTCTCTGTGGTAAAAGATAAACATATTTTTTAATTTAAACTGTATTTGAAAATATTTTTTGCTGTAAAATATTCCTTACATTAAATGTAATTGTCTTGTGGCCGAGTGGATAGAACTACTGAACACTGGTAGTTAATGTTGGATTAATTGTTAATTAATAGGCTGTCTCTTGAGGTTTTCTGGGATATATTTGGCTTCGGGGAGAAATAACCCTCTACGCTTCACACTGACTGGGAGTAACTGATGTCGTTCCTAACTCCAAATCAATTTGTATTTTAATTATATTTTACTTATTTGTTGTTTGAAATAGTTCAATAAATTTGTAATTTTTTAATATTAAACTTGCATAAACTCTATTACTTCTTTTATAATCAGTTAGTTGCTTCTTTGAGGCTAAAGTTTTAGACGCGAAAACGTGTACGTCGGGCGTTTAGCGCTGCTTTCGTGTGAGCCTAGAAGTTTGACAATGGTGTTTGGATAGTCAGCAGAATCATGCTCGACATTCCAAACTGCATAGTCAAGCTTCTAGGCTTACAGGAAAGCGGTGCTGACCGTCTGACGCACACGTTTTCGATATTAAAACTTCGGCATCAACCTTGCTAATAATTGGATCCTGAGGAACGACATGCTAAGCCAGCCGGTAGATTTGATAAATTAATAAATATTTTGTACAATAGCGTTATTATTAATAGTTATTAAGCTACAAAAATTATGAAGAAAATAGTCTCACCTATCCATACCCATAAACATTAATATTTATACTTATAAGAAAAATAGCAAATTTTTTTACATTTCTGAACGTTAAAAATTTCATTTCGTTAAAAAATGTAAAACATAGCGATAGGGAATTTAGTTTTTGACCGATTGCTATATTTTTCTCTGTTATATATAACACAATGGAAAGTGAGAAATTAAACTGCAATTACTATCGTAATTTACATTAACACTTTCAGTAACATATCCAAATTTGAGCTCTTCATTAAAACATTCTAAATCAGGGGTGGCCAACGTTTTAAGAAGGCGGGCCAAATTTGAACAATAATTTTTTTTGCCGGGCCACGCACCTAATTTTTTTTAAATTAAAGTAAACAAGCAAGCCTGCTACAGTTCAACCACATCGTCGCTTCCCAGTAGGTAAGATCGTGGTCAAACACTTTTTTGGTTTATTGTAAAAAAACACAAAAAATAGGTATATTTATTTTTTAGAAAAAATAAAACATAGCCTAGAATCAAACATATTTATTAGACAATTTTAAAATATTTAAAAGGGAGACATCTGACTTTGTTTTACAAAACTAAGTGCATCAAAATTGATTTCCATTGATGTTGTCGCTACACGCAGTTTTTTAAATGAACATCAGTAATTCGATCTCACTTATGATTTGATGTACTTCATTCGACTAAAAAGCTTTTCACACGCATAAGTGTTTCCACATAGCGAAACCATCGACAGAGCATGTTTGTAAAACGCATGATATCTTTGTCCAAATACGTTTCATAGAACTCTTCCAAACCAACTTGATGGAATTTCTCCAACGTTTCAGGGTTTACTTACTTATAGAATCGATATGGTAGACAGTCTACTTGGTTAAAGTAGTTTGAACTGTAATTATAAATATGTTAAATATGTATTTTAACGTCGATTGCAAAATCTCTCCAGATG